GTGGACCAGCTTCGGTAGCAGCCCACCGAGACGATGACTGAGGACCCGCGAGATAATTTTCGTCTCCACCGGTATCAAAGAGATGGGCCGGTAGTTGCCGGGGTCGGAAGCATCACCACCCTTTGGGAGAAGCGCGACCGCCGACGTTCGTTGGAGCTCGAGGAGCTCCCCACGTTCCAGTTGAGACATGAAGACAATGTGCAAGATCGAGGCAAAAGTCGGCGGGTCCAGTTGGTAAAACGCCGCCGGAAACCCGTCCAGCCCGGGAGCCTTGTCCGGTGCCATGGTACGAATCGAGGACTCAATGTCCTTGACACTGATCGGTAAGTCCAAGAGGTCGCGGTCCTCCGGCGTAAGTTCTCGCGTGACTTGGCTCAAGAAAGCGCGGCGACGGGTATCGCCGGGGTCTCGAAAGTCGTCGGAGCGCATCACCGTCGACCACTTGTGGTGGAACACGTCGTGGATGTCGTCCATCGACACCGCAACCGTCCCGTCGGTCCGGCGCATTTCTTGGATCGGTGATGAGCCGGTCGTCTGCGCCCGAAAGAAGTAGCGCGTGCTGGTTTCCGCTTGCGAGCGATGAAGCTCAAAGTTCAAATCCTTCGTGTTCTGGCCGGCGCGTTGCGATGATTTCGCGTACGTTTCCCGAGCCACTGCGATTTCATCGTCGGACAAGTCGCCATGTCGATGATGATACTCGGCCACTTGCCACACGACCCGTGCCTGATCCTTGCGGCGTTTGTCGATGACCAAGTACGATCGATGGTAATCTTGGAGGAATGATTTCGTTGTCTTCTTCCAGGCAGCCCATGTGGCACCTGGGTCGTCGACCTCTTCAAGACCGTCGCGGAGGGCAGCCGCTTCCTGTTTGATGGCATCGGCTACCTCGGGAATGGCTAGCAGCTCCTTGGGCAATCGCCAGTACGCGTGCTTGGGTATCGGTGGTGCTGGATTGACGACGAGCCATTGGATCATGTGGTTGCATGGAGCGGTGTTGGGTCCTTTCGCGTATCCCGAGGTAAAGGTGTTGTGTGCTCGCAAGCTGTCACTGAGAAAGATGTAGTCCAGACGGTTCACTCCTCCTGGTGACGAGTACACTCGTGCCATAGGGTGCAGTTCCCGCCAAATGTCGACGACCCCCAAGGAGGCCAGCCACGCTACCCATTCGGCATGACCGTTCCACGAGATCGTGGACGCGCGCTCGGCGTCCTTGCCTTGATCCAATGGCAAGTTGAAGTCGCCCATGACGACATGTTGGGCCCCGGGAGAGAAGTCCGTCGGTAGCATGTTGTAGAAGGCAGCGCGCTCGGGTGGTTGGGCCGGCGCGTAGATGTTGTGGTAGTACGTGGTGATACCGCTGACAGTAGCGGAGACAACCATGTATCGGTCGGCGATGTCGCGCCGTTGCTCGTGCCGGAGCGTGTCGAAGCCCGGTGTGTTTTTCGGAAGACCATGGCCACGCCGCTGCTCCGTCGTTGGCGAGTTGTTGATTGGGTCCCTTGGTCGTTGACGGCCAAGAAAACGTGTTCAGCCTCGAAAAGACGATCAAGGTGATCACGAAAACATTTGGCTTGGTGTTGGTTCTTGAAGCGCGTCTCTTGAAGCGCGGTGATCGTGTGATGTCGGACGAACGAGTCGATGAGCTTGTGCCCGTTTCTTTTTATGGAGTTGATGTTGCATGTTGTGATAAATAATGGTTGTTGACGAGGGAGTTGAAGCCCGTCGGGACGAGCTTCACGGGTTGTCGTGCCCGTAATTACGCTGTCTCGTCGTCGATCGCGTCATCCTCGTACGCCTCGTCGTCGTCGTCCGCGTCATCCTCGGACGCCTCGTCGTCGGCGTCCGCACCGAGCGTCGAGGTGTCTTCGGATGGTACCAAAATGAGCTTACGCTGCTTGTTGAGTATGAACACGCCGTCGTCCGGGTACTCGAACGTGCCCTTCCGGAGCTCGCGTAGCGTGCGACAAATGCCAAGATCTCCAAGGTTCTTGAAGATGCTTAGCACCGCTCCTCCCATAGGTGAGCGTAGCACGCGGAGCAGCACATTGGGTTGCACCATTCGGTCGCCGTAGCGGGTGTGTAAGTGGAAGATACGGTGATGAGTGATCGCCACCAACCATTCATCCCGTGGAAACAAGTCGGGAGCTGTGGCAGCGACCATCAGCTCAAATCCAGCGAGCGCATGTTCCATGGCCAGAAGGTCCTGTGCTCCTGGGATCGATGCCTCGGGGTGGAAGATGTCCGCGGTGGTCATAGAAAAGCGGTCCTCGGTGGTCCACTTGGTGTTCACATAGTCGTTGAAAGACTCCTCAAAGTTGTCCGTGATACTCGGAAAGTCGGTGGCCGCGACCCATCGGAGCCACATGTGCATCTTGGCCAGCCCCGTGAGGCGGTCGAGGCTCAAAGCGGCAAGGTAGTTGCCACCGCGATCCGTCATCTGGTGCCATACACCCTCCGGGTCAAAGGACTGAAGAAGCCGGTCGGTGTCGGCGAGAATCGCAGCTTCGGACATGCCGGGAGCCCGAAGTTCTTCGATGCCTGCCTCTGAGTCGCGTATCGTAGTTGTTTCATGGAGAATCTCCGTCAATCGGGTCACCGACATGGCGTCGACGTTCCATTCGAGCGTATTCGACTCGTTGAAGTCCATCTCGGTCGCCGTGGCGTTCTCGGGGAGGACGGCGGGAATGTGTGGCCGCGCCACGATGTACGGCAGAGGGCCACCCTCTGCCGTCTTCATGCGCCGGTAGTCCACCTTCATGTTCTTGAGGAAGGAGTACATGTTGCCCGAGATGCCGATCGGTGGCGGGGCTAGCACACCTTTCGCTGGCTTGGCACCGCGACGACCGACTCGCTCGAATCCTTCCGAGTCTTTTTCCGTCTCTGAGTCCGAGGCCCAGTTCCGTCCTGGCGTACTCAACCACGGTTGCCCGCTGGCGGCACGTTGGCTTTTGGCGCTCTTGGGGCGCTGACGCGGGCGCTCGGCTTCCGCCGGTGGCGCAGCTCGCTTGGGCGCCAACACTCGGTCCAAGTTGAGGCCATGGCGCTGCTGACGGTCACCCGCCGGTCGCGTGTAGCCCTTGAAATAGACGGGGTAGCGGACATTTTTGTAGAGAATGTGGTCGGGAAACTGACCGTTCACGAGCATTGCCGCGGGAAGCTCCGGATGCGCCAGGTAAAGGCGCCACGACGTGCCGTGGTTGGTCGGGATTTCCTTGATCGTGTGGTTGTACGCGTGCGTGAGCGACGCTACCCCCAAGTGGTCTAACGCGCGCATCACCCCGTCTTCTTCAAAGCCGACGCGGATGGCCGCTACGTCCATGAACATGTACGGGGCGAGGAGGGCCGCGCGTTCTTCGTCAGCCGAGGCCGTGAACTTGTACTCCTCCCCGAACAGCACGACGGATTTGTTGAGCATCGCCAAGCGCGTCTCCTGGTCCGTGACCGAAAACACGAGCGACCCGTCGTTGGTCTTGTTGATCATGGGGATCCGCGGGAAAAGCGGCATCCACACGTCGTTGTTGTTGGCCGAGAAGAACTCGTCCGTGATCTCTTGGTTCGAGTAGTTGGCGAACTCCTTGCCACCCTTGAGCCATACGGGCACTTTCGCGGCTACTGGCTGGATCGGCAGGTGTGTCTTGATGAGCGCGAGGCGCTCGTCGAAGCTGGCGTAGGCCAACTTGTTACGCTCGATGAGCTCGCGGATCGCCGCGGGCTCGGGCAGAAGGCGCACGAATGTGTGGCGCAATGCTTGCGCCGCCCGTTGCTGGACGCCATTAACGGCTGCGGCGTACGAGGTGTTCCGCGCGTAGCCCTGACCACCGTGGCCAGTGTTACGTGGCGCACCACGCCAACTACGGTCCGTGCCACTCGCTGGCACGTGGTCCTTTGTTTCTTCTTGCTCCCGGAGCGACGCCACGCGGTCGTCCTGGAGGGACATGTCTGGGGGTTTCACTTGCTGTACGGCTGGAAAAACGCAGAATTTTTACAGGATCAAATTCTAAAGTTCGTTCAGTTTTACTTTGTTTTCAAAGTTGACATCACAAATGACTTTGATGATCGTATGTGACCACGTCCGTTGACTCGGGATGTCGGCCAGAAACTCGAATTGAGTTTTGAGTTGCTGGCTCTTGATGAACGTCCACCGTTGCTATTCCAAGACGGTGTGAGCGGACGCTGGTGTTATGAGAAGTCATCTGCTTTTTCTTTTTCATCTTTATCCATTTTCACTCATGTCCAAAAGAAATATACGAATGGCCTTGATGATATTACCTGTAGCACTCGAGTAACTCGTCGTTTCTACCAGTTCTCGCTGCCACTAAAACGATCTTAAGACCCGTCAATAGTGTTAACCATTGCACTTCACATTATCAAGCGCCATCCTACGTGGCACGCTCCCGTGGCTGCTACGTCCAGGTCGGTCGTGGCGGTCGGCGCAGGTACACGGCAGACCAACTCGTTGGCTATGGTGTGCGCGGGCGCGTCGCTTTGCTGGCGCCGACCGGCGGAAGCTCCGGGTAGGCGAGGTATGTGAAGAGTTTGCACATGCCTTCGTCGTTGGTGCCGCGGCGGTCGAGCCGAATGTCGCCCTTCTCGCCCCAGTTGGTGCCCCACGCGTTGCGCAGCTTGAAGAAATGCATTGGCTTGGTGAGGTAGCCAGCGTCGTGGGTGCCGTAGCCAACGACAAGCATGGCCTGGTCGACGTACTGCGCCGGCGGACACCACGTGAGGATGCCGCCTTTGTACGATTTCCAAACCGGGTTGAGCGCCGTGACGTAGGCGACGACGGGCTGCAATTGGAGCTGTTTGGTGAGCGCGTCTTCGCCCTGCATGGTCACGATCGGACCGGTGTGCAGCGGGATGGACCCGGCGCACTTGGTGTTGTCGCTGCAAACCGGCGCCGACCCGGTCTCGCCCGAGGTATACGGGATCGCAGAGTCCTTGCACAGTATGCTCGGATGCGACACAAGCCATTCCATCGCATGCTGCGCAAACCCTGCGCCTTTGCAGACATCCGTGCCACGCGGGTACGAACAGCTCAAGACTTGCTGCGCCGAGAGGAAGATGGCGTCGCCTGTCGCGAGGCAGTGCGCCGATGACACGGCCGCCGCCGCCATGATCGCCCAGTTGCTGCCGCAGTTGCCTTTGAACTTGACCGGCGGCACGCAAATCGACCGCGTTGTCCAGTCGACCGAGTAGGTGTCGCTGGCCTCGACGACAGCACTCCGATTCAGATGGTTGGTCGGTGATCGTGAAGGAGGCGACAGCGGTGGTATGACCGGCTTCAACGGTGACTCCGAGATAAACTGCGCAAACTCGTTGTCCGTAAGCAGCGCAAACTTGGTCAAGTGGCTAAAGGTCGCGTGCGGGTTGGCTGCACGAAGCGTCGGAAGCTGATCCTTGGTCGCCTTCAAGCGCCGAAGAAGATCGTCGGTCGTCAAGGTCCCTCGCACCAAGGTCATGGCCGCGCGCACGTGGTCGTCGTTGCCAAACTTCTTTTGCCAGCGCCGCAAGTCGCGCGAGAGCTCATCGCGCTCGTGGGCCGAGATGTTGAGCGCGTCGACGGTCATCACCCACGCGAGAAGGACGATGGCCATCAAGAAAAGCACTTGGAGGAAGCGCATCGCAAGCTGCAGCAGCGAGAGGAAGAGTGAGCTCCTGCGGTAAAAGATAGGAGCTCGACGACGTCGCTGCGTCACGCGTTAGGAAACCGACCGGCGGGGCCGATCGATGCTTCAACATCTCACGACGACAACCAAGCAGGCTACTCCTTCAAGTCGCTACGCCCAGAATGGATTGTACAGTGTAGACAGAGACCATTGCGCTCGTACTACTGCTTGAAGAGACTGCTCGCTGTCGTTTACTGTCTCTAGCACCGGCCGTCGACGGGGTCTCTGTTCCGACTCTGTCGATCGCCAGCACAGTTTTGCATCGATAGAAAGGCCCGTCTTGTCGCCAGCACCCAGAGGTCGACGCGCAATTCGGAGGTCGTTCTTCCTTGAAGTCGGTTGCCGCCGATCCGACGTCTTGACGCCTAGGATTGGCAAGTTGTTGTGGCGTTTAAGGCAGGTTGCTACGGGAAGCGCGCTCATTTGCCAGCGCAAGGCGGCGATGCATGCACGCTGTACAATTGTAGAGCTACAGTCGACAAGCGCACGCCAACGACTACAGTGTACAAGCTACTGATGCTCCTGCGTTGCAGAGCTTGGCACGTGAATATGATAAACAAGACAGTGCTACTCTTCCCTCCAAGCCCACTTCTGCTGCGATGCTATGGCGAGGAGGGCTGGCAACATCATCGTTCACCCTGCACTCACTACATGTCATTGCCACTACTAGTACGCACATTAATTATTTTACACGATGACGACGCGTCGCTGCAGGTATTAATTGGTCGGGGTTGGCGTCGATAAAACAGCGCAGTTTGTACTATATTGGATATCTATAGCAGCAGCATTAGCAACAAAAAAAACTATGACGCGTTGTCGGGCATGCAAGCGTCTGAACACGCAAGTCGTCCGCCTATCGCCATAGCGGGGATCGAACCCTGTCTCTACTGAGTGTAAAACTCGCGCTGTACCGCCAGACCATAGAGTGGGCTCCGCCTTTACGTTCAAAGTCCCTACCGTAGATAAATTCTGGCGGCGGCCGTACAGAGGCGCCTCGACCCTTTACACGCGCTGTACACTGGCTCGACCGGGAAACCCTACCCCTCGTAGAAACCCACCCGCGTACTGGGACCGGCGACCACCCATGCACGCGTCTACGACACCCACGACAGAATGGACAACGCTGCATCTTTCTTGGTGACGTCCTCGACCGGAGGCTGCCACGTCATCATTGCAGACGACGGCGGATACGAGGTGCCGACGCGGCCGCGTCGTGTCTGTGACGCACGCGCGTCAGGCACCGTGCAGTGGAAAAGGATCTCACGGAGCGTGACCGACGCTTCGTGCCACCGCGTGTGCTGCGGTCCTAGCAATGCGTCGAGAGAGCCGGAGGCTATGACGATCTTCCCGCAAGCGTCTCATGAAGAAGCACGTCCCACCGTCTTCTTCTCTCGGTTGAAGCTGCGATCAGTTGATTTCCAAGCGCACCTACTGTACGCTTTACTTAACACTCGGATAGTAGTCACAATTCGAGCTGCTCGTCATGCGCTTCCTCTGCTTGGTCGCGCTGCTTCTCTCAATCCCACTCGGTGCGCTCACGCTCTCGGCCGACGAGCGCGATGAGCTCTCGCGCGACTTGGCGCGCTGGCAAACCAAGTTTGGCCACGACGACCACGTGCGCACGGCCATGGTCTTGGTGCGAGGAACCTTGACGACCGACGATCTTCTTCGGCGCTTGAAGGCGGCCAAGGACAAGCTTCCGGCTCTGCAGGCGGCCAACCCGTACGCGACCTTTAGCCACTTGACCAAGTTTGCGCTGCTCTCGGACAACGAGTTTGCGCAGTTCGCGTCGTCGCCGATGCCGGTGCTCCTAGCGAGGCCACCCATCGCGTACAGTGCTGCGGCGTCGGCGCCATAAGCTCTTCGCGTGTACGGCGGCCATGGCTGGCAATGGTATGAACCAGCTCAAAGCGCGAGCCGGCCTTGGTCGTCACCGAGACCACGTGGTCGAGCGCAATGCGGTACGTGCCAGGCAGCGTGTCCTCGACGTCGCACGGGTCCAGGAGCAGGTCTGGGCCGTGGAGGAGACACTTGTACTTGACCCACTCGAAGAGGTTGGTGCGCTCGTTCTTGACCTTGCGCTTGAGCGTCTGCTCCATGTCCGCCGTGTCGTCGTCACGTGGCATCGCATCCAATATCTTTATCCGGACAACCAACCGCTCGCTGCAGCCAGCGTTTCGACCCATATTCTGTTTGAAGTCGCAACATGAGATTCTGGATGACCGATCTGCAGTGGATTTGTGACCATTGACGCGTCGACAAAGACGACGGCTACCAGCATCGCGACGACGTTCGGGCATGCAACAGAGGCACTCTCGAGACGACAGCAGAGCTTGGCAGACGAGGCAGTCACCTCCAGTGTAGCGCAGTGGTCGCTGCATCTCCTTCCTGGACGTAGCGTCTTCAAAGAGTAGCCTGCTTGGTTGTCGTCGTTGAAGCAGCGATCGGCCCCGGTTTCCTAACGCGTGACGCAGCGACGTCGTCGAGCTCCTATCTTTTACCGCAGAAGCTCACTCTTCCTCTTGCTGCTGCTGCTGCTTGCGATGCGCTTCCTCCAAGTGCTTTTCTTGATGGTCATCGTCCTTCTCGCGTGGGTGACGACCGTAGACGCGCTCAACATATCGGCCCACGAGCGCGATGAGCTCTCGCGCGACTTGCGGCGCTGGCAAAAGAGTTTGGCAACGACGACCACGTGCGCACGGCCATGGCCATGGTGCGAGGGACCTTGACGACCGACGATCTGCTCGGGCGCTTGAAGGCGTCCAAAGACAAGCTTCCGATGCTTCGTGCAGCCAACCCGCACGCGACCTTTAGCCACTTGACCAAGTTTGCGCTGCTCACCGACAAGGAGCTGGCGCGGTTCACGTCATCGCCGCGGGTGCGATCGCCTGCCAGTATGCCGTATGACGGCAGTGGCAGCGCGGCCACTGACACGATCGACTGGCTCGCGTCCAAGTGCGTCTACCCGGTGCAGAGCATGGGCGCGTGCTTTAGCGTCTGGGCCATTACAGCGATCCAAGCGGTGGCGTCTGCGAACTGCATTGCGACCAACGCGCTTCTTGACATCTCGCTCCAAGAGGTGGTGAGTTGTGCCAACATGGGCGGCCCCGATGGCTGTCATGGCGGCGACGCCATCGCCGCGCTCAGGTGGCTCATCATGCAGCAGACCGCCTTGTGCAATGACGTCGACATCCCATACACCGCGGGCTCGTCCGCGTACGCGCCGACGTGCAGCGACAACAGCAAGTGCGCAGGCGCCATCTCGTTTGCCGTGAGCGACGTGGTCGAGAAGAGCGGCGAAGCGCTGCTCGAGAAGCACGTCCGCGTGCAACCCGTCCTTGCCATGGTCTCGGCGTCCGTTGACACGTGGTTTCTCTACACCGGCGGCATCCTCTCGTCGTGCCCGCAGACAAAGTCGGCGTTTACCCTGCCCTTGCTCGTGGTCGGCTACAGCACTGAGAACGGCGTCGCCTACTGGAAGGTCCGCAACGGATGGGGCACTGTCTGGGGCGAGCAGGGCCACATGCGCCTCCTCCGCGGCATCGGCGGTCGCGGCACGTGCAACGTCGCCGCCCACTTTGCGTTCCCAGCCATCCCGTCTCGCAAGCCTTAGGCGGTGCCACGCGTCGAGGACGCTGCCAATGACGCGTCTGACTAATAGCCGCGCGTAGCGTAGCACTTACCCGCCACCAAAGTTTATGTTTAAAATTCCAACCAGGCCTGCTTTAATACTCATGGTCCTGCGTTGCCGAACTACCTGTGAATATGAGAAGCAAGACAGTGCTACCAAGAATGGCTACGCTTGCGCCAAAGCCCACTCGTGCTGTGATGCTATGACGAGGAGAGCTGACAACATCATCGTCCACACTGCACTCACTAGTATATGGCGTTGCCACTACAAGGTACAATAATTATTTTACACGATGCCTCGACGTAGCTGCAGGTACGATATATTAAGGGGTCGGGGTTGGCGTCGATAAAAAAGTACATTTTGTATGGAGTATGGCAGCATCGTTCGCAACAAAATATGACGCGGATTCGGGCATGCAAGCGTCTGAACACGCAAGTCGTCCGCTTCCGCGAAATAGGGTATCGAATCCTGACCCTACTGAGAGTAAAACCTCGCGCTGTACCGCCAGACCATAGGGCTTTCATGCTCTTTTACGTTCAAAGTCCCTACCGTAGATAAATTCTGGCGTACAAAGGCGCCTCGACCCTTTACACGCGCTGTACACTGGCTCGACCGGGAAACCCTACCCCTCGTAGAAACCTACCCTCGTAGAAACCTACCCTCGTATTGGGACCGGCGACCACCCATGCATGCGTCTACGACACCCACGACAGAATGGACAACGCTGCATCTTTCTTGGTGAAGTGCTCCGACCGGGGGCTGCCACGTCATCATATCAGACGACGACGGCGGATACGAGGTGCCGACGCGGCAGTGTCGTGTCGGTGACGCACGCGCGTCATGCGACGTGGGATAGAAAGGGTGTACAGATCTCACGGAGCGTGACCGACGCTTCATGGCGGCGCGTGTGCTGCGGTCCTAGCAATGCGTGGAGAGAGCCGGAGGCTATGACGATCTTCCCGCAAGCGTCTCAAGAAGAAGCAGGTCCTGCGCGCGGTTGTTGTCGCCGTCTTCTTCTCTCGGTTGAAGCTGCGATCAGTTCAAGCGCGTGACGCACCTACGCTTCAACACTCGGATAGTAGTCACAATTCGAGCTGCTCGCCATGCGCTTTCTCTGCTTGGTCGCGCTGCTTCTCTCGGTCCCACTCGGTGCGCTCACCCTCTCGGCCGACGAGCGCGATGAGCTCTCGCGCGACTTGGCGCGCTGGCAAACCAAGTTTGGCAATGACGACCACGTGCGCACGGCCATGGTCTTGGTGCGAGGGACCTTGACGACCGACGATCTTCTTTGGCGATTGAAGGCGGCCAAGGACAAGTTTCCCGCTCTGCAGGCGGCCAACCCGTACGTACCTTTAGCCACTTGACCAAGTTTGCGCTGCTCTCGGACAACGAGTTTGCGCAGTTCGCGTCGTCGCCGATGCCGGTGCCACCACAGACAGCTCTTCCAGCGGCCGCCACTTTGAATCGCAGTGCTGTCGGCGGCACGGTGGTCGATACGGTTGACTGGACCACGCAATCGACATGCGTCACGCCCGTGAAATGGATGGGCAAGTGTCGAAGCGATTGGGCGATCGCGGCGGCGGCGGCCGTGTCGTCGGCGCACTGTCTCGCAACCGGCGAGTTCATCGACCTCTCGGTACAGCAAGTCTTGAGCTGCACATACTCTAGCGGGCTAGACAGCTGCTGGGGCCCCGGGACCCCATTCGATGGCATGCAGTGGCTGCTCGAGCGGTCCAGCGCCTTGTGCACTGAGAAGGCGAACCCATACACCTCGGGCCACTCGGGCGTCACGCCAAAATGCAGCGACAACACCAAGTGCACCAGATCGATTTCGCTCTACGTCGGTGAGATCGAGCAAGCTCGTGGCGAGACCGCGCTCGAGGAGCAGCTCCGGACGCAGCCGGTTGTAGCGTTTGCGACGACCAACAACTACGCGTGGCAACAAGACCCACTTCAACAACAACTACGCGTGGCAACTGTACACGGGCGGCCGCCTCGACCAAGCCGTCCTCGTCGTGGGCTTCGGCACTGAAGACGTTGGCTCTGCGCTACCACCCGTCGGCTTCTTCAAGGTGCGCAGCGCGTGGGGCACCGACTGGGGCGAGCATGGCGACGTGCGCCTCGCGCGCGGCCCCGGCACCGGCGATTTCGGCACGTGCGACATTGCGACGCACCTTGCGTACCCACTGCGCTTGCCGTTTCGGACCAAGGCCTCGGACGTGGCATCCACCACCGCGCCACACAGACCCACACCACCGGCTTCGTCTCGCATGTCGACAGCTAGCGACGACGAGACGTAGACGGCAGCACGCGTCTGTTGTCCCGTACTAGTATGGTCTAATTCCTAACGACGATCGGTACGCGCGAGGGAGCTGCTGCTGTCGTCACACCTTTTGCCGAGGGTTGGTGACGCGTCGACGCCGCAGGCATGCTGACGGACTGCACGATAGCGATATTGATAGCGATATGTAGCGTGTTATCTGAGGTCTTGCAAGAGTCTGGCATTGGCGTTGGTTCTCTCGCAGGTTGGCTTGAGCTGCGAAGGTGGCAAAAAGCCTGTTTGAAGCGTACGTTTCGGTCCTCGGTCCGAAATGATCCTGGTTCAAATTCAAATTTGCCAATGCAGTACACACACTATATGCATTTCTAGAGATAGTGTGATTCGGAAGCGAGATATGGTGTTGCCATTCAAAACGACGCTGCCATGACCACTTTTACCGTAAATATACGCTACTTCCTGCAAAACCATCGGATCGTATGCGGAATCAGCTGGTTTTATGCGGATTTCTACGCGCCATGTCAAAATCACGGTATCGGATTCGTCTTGAGGTGCATTTGCTTGAGCCTACATGAGGAACGCGTGCTTTTCGAGACGTAGCAATGCCAAAATACGGTCACAATCAGGAATTAAGACCGTACTTTTACAGGATCAAATTCTAAAGTTCGTTCAGTTTTACTTTGTTTTCAAAGTTGACATCACAAATGACTTTGATGATCGTATGTGACCACGTCCGATGACTCGGGATGTCGGCCAGAAACTCGAATTGAGTTTTGAGTTGCTGGCTCTTGATGAACGTCCACCGTTGCTATTCCAAGACGGTGTGAGCGGGCGCTGGTGTTATGAGAAGTCGTTTGCTTTATACTTTTTCTTATCTTTATTCATTTCACAAAAAAAAATACGAATGGCCTCGAAGATATTACCTGTAGCATTCAAGTAACTCGTCGTTTCTACCAGTTCTCGCTGCCACTAAGATAAAACGATCTTAAGACCCGTCAATAGTGTTAACCATTGCACTTCACATTATCAAGCGCCATCCTACGTGGCACGCTCCCGTGGCTGCTACGTCGAGGTCGACAGTGTCGGTCGTGGCGGTCGGCGCAGGTACTCCAACAAATGTGCTGTACCGGTCAAGTAGTAGTACTAGTAGATTTTTCCTGGTCTCGAAGCGTGCCAAAAGGATGTCGACGCACTCACGCCTACCGGTAGTTCGATCGAAACGATATGAGACATTGATGGGGATGGATTGAGAGTCGATGGTGCTGGCATGCTCGAAAAACAATATTGCGTGTCGATTGAAGCACTTCAAGAACGTGGTCTGCCCCAAGGGGATACGACAATTTCTCTGTCGTGGGTGCATGCGATACGTCCACCACCACCATAGACGACTATGGCGGAGTGCCATGGCAGCCGCTTATCGACAAGAAAAATTGAGCAAAAACATCAAAAATTAAATCTTGTGGCAACAACCGCTCAAGAACTATTCTATCGGAACGACAAACAACCAATTTTACAAGCTCAAAATCGACCTTTCTACCGCAACGACACGTCACCCGTGGTACGCGGCTGGCAGTACGCATGCTGCACCACCGTGGCCATAGACGGTCGCAGTGCCGGGTCCGCGACCAAGAGCAGCGCCAGCATCTCGACAGCGTCGCTTGGCAGTGCCAGTCCCCACGCGCGGATAAGTGTCCGGATACCAACGCGCTGGAGAAAGCCAAACACTTCGTCGGCCTCGGACGACGACTCGACGAGTGGGACGCCGGTGAGCAGCATCCAGAGCACGATGCCAAGCGACCAGGCGTCGACGGTCGCCGCGCTGTAGTCGCCACCGGTGTGCATCTCGGGCGCCATGTAGTAGCTCTTCCCGACGGCATGTGTTGCCGTTGCAGCGAGCGGCGTCGCGAGGCCAAAGTCGCCAATCTTGAGTTTGCCGTTGGCATCGACAAAGACATTTTCGAGCGAGAGATCGCGGTGGGCGAGGCCGCAGCTATGGATGGCCGCAAGACCACGCGCGATCTGCATGAAATACTGCTGCGCGAGCTCGGGCGTGCATTTGTGCATGGACAGATCATGCAGGTGGTTGTACAAATCGCCTTTGGCGCAGTGCTCGAGGAGGAGGTAGTGGTGCGTGCGCTTGCGGTCCATGTGGCTGCCGTAGCAGCGCAGGACGTGGTCGGATGTTGTCGCTGCCTTGGCTTGAAGAAGGTCGTAGGCGCGCACTTCGCTCGCGATGGCGGCGTGCGTCGAGCGAGCGAGGCGCGTACGCTTGATGACGCACATGGTGGCGCGGTCGGTGTCGTAGGCAAGCAGGACGGCGCCGTCCGACGTGGTTGCTAGCGTCGAGGTCTTGACAAAGCGTTGCATGTCGTGTGGGGAGAAATGGTAAGTGAGCTGAAGCGTCGGTGGTGTGACTGACCCTTGCGAGAGAAAAGATCACGCGTGCCACGTCGTTTGTGGTAAAAAATATAGAAGGCCAAAGGAGACGGTTACTTTACTAATCACAAGCCGCTGCCCACCAATAACGAGCCGATGTTTACAATTTGTAGCACTAGTCGCTTGGGTCGAGTCGCAAGCAAAGTGCGCAAAAGGTCTTGCGGTCGCGCAGGTGGTCGGCGATATGGTGCCAGGCTACCGTGTATCGCCTTGAGTGTTGAGGACGACAGACCTGGGCGAAACTTCGAATGAGCGTCGAACGATTAAGGTGGGATCTGCTGGGGCGTAACTAGAGACCATGGTATCTTCTTCGGCGGTTTCAGGGCACCGTGTCGGAAGGCAGTGTCGCCAGCAGCCAATCGCGTTGCAGGAGGTGCTGGAAGAGACGCTTCCTCTGGACACACGAAACATTCTTCTCGTGCGCAGACCGAGCACTGTACACGGTGCTTTCGTACGATCACGCAAAGACACGTAGCAAGCCGATGTGTCAATTCTCTGCCGAACATTGCTGTAGCCAGTCGTTGGACATTTTGGACCGGCTTTTATGGCGGTGGTCCTTGCTTTGCGAAGCGTTGGCCCCAAAACAGTTTTTATGTACACAACCACAGTGCAATGGTGCTATATTCGCTCCAGCGAAGCACCGAGTACTTTTTTTGAACAGAAAAGATATACGATCTATACCGTGTCCAATCGCGCGGCAAAAGCATCCCAATACAGTCGGTCGATACGACATGAGCGAGTTTCGAGTGCGAGATATCACGAATGCACGAAGATGAAGGCGGTCGGCGCCGTAGGACGATCGCCTTCCGTCTTTATGTAGGATACCTCTCCAGGGCTGCTTAATTGCCCCCTAAAACCATTGCGACACTCCACATCTGTCGTAGTAATAATATTCCTGGGACTCCTAACCTGTTATTTCGGGGAAGGGGTAGTTGAGGAAGCAGAGTTGAAGCGTGAGGTTGGGGAGGGCGTTGGGGAAGGAGGAGGAGGTCGGTGGGGTTGTTTGGGGGGAGAGGGAGAGTTAGCGGGGCTCCGTAAGCCCTCGGGGAAGGAGGGGAGGGTATTGGGATGGGATATTACGCCAAGGGTCGATGGGTTTTTAATTGTCGAACTTCGAAATCGAAGTTTGGGAAAGGGGAGGTTGCAATGGAGCACCGACCAATCACAGGCTGCGTGCATACAGTCGCCCCGCCTCTATCGATGGTTTTAGGGGGCAATTAAGGGTTCGTTACCTCTCCAGCTGTTCCTTTCGAACAGTTTCACCGGCCGAGATGCGTGTAACTGCCCGTGATCAAGTGGAGGCGTACCACCGCAAGCCCATGGACGAATCGGCGACACGCTGCACGTGCACGACAGCCTCGTTCAAGAGTCCGAGCAGCCCGCTCTTCGTCGGCTTCTCGCGCAACACGAATGGTCGCGCGGACGTCCGCGGATCGCGCTCCAGTCTCCGTCTTCCTAGACCAAGTCCCTCAACCGAACGAAGAGAGCCGACAGTGGTATCACTGCATTTCATTTCCAATGATCTGTATTTTACTTCACGAACCACGTGCACAATTGCCCGTCATCACAGCCGATGTCACGGCGATGTCATCAACCAACATCATCCGGATATATGTTACCATATCCGGATTCCGGATTTTGTCCGCGCACATTGATGCAGCCGCCGCGTAACTCTACTGCCAGCAGTGCGGTACATTCGGGGTAACGTTGAAGCAAAGGTCGTGGTCGAGACTACCGCGCTGTCGCTCGAGGGTCGGTACCTTCCTCTACGTCGTTCGACTCGTCGACCATCAAGGCAAGCTTGCCTGCGTCAAACGAGCCGCTGACTGCGCTAACTATATGTCTTTCGCGCCTGCAAGGAGTCGAATCGGACTTTTCAAGAAGGCGACTCAGCGAAACCAACGACTCGTTTCAATCTCCGCCAAGCCACACCTCCCCCGAGGTGCTGCGGTAATGCATCCCCCTGAGCGAAGGAACCATGGGCAATGCATGCAATACTGTGTTGTACGAGGTATCAAGCAGGCAAGCGACACGAACGCGCCGTTGGACGAAACCAAGGTCGATACAACTGCACTCACTGCTCCAATAGAAACTGGAACAACTCATGCCAACAAGGGTGCGGTACCAGGATGATCGTCACTGTCGCCGTCTTGCTTGTTGCCTTACGTTTGTGTGCAGAATGTGCCGACACAACCCTGCCTACAGCAGAAGCCAGCACGAACCTCGTCTTACGGACTTGTCGCTCGCCAACCAATCACCGAACTGCCTTCGCACCATCTTGCTGATATTTGATCTTCCCGCTTGCCGGGAATTGAACCGCCGTTGGCTCAACCTATTGCTGATTCGGTTGTACACCCTTCTATCTTCCGTACTATATGCTTGGAGGGATTGCGAGCACCAAGTGCCTCTTCTCATATTGCTCTATTGCTCTTGCTGGTCGTCATGGATCACTGGCGTATCGACGCCAATGCGATGAAGAACGTGTAGCTGAGGGGGTCGCGCGAGCATTTGGCGCTCGTCTAGCATCAGCCAAGCACGGTTGCGCGTAATTCGACGGGTGGTGCCAACATACATCTGCGGTGGCCG